TGTCATTGTTGAGGCCAGTGGCAGAGGGCAAACATCTCCAAATACAAAACAAAGCCAGCGGTCCATTAGTGCAGAATGCTAACAGTTAGGCCAGACTCTGGTAAATCTCAGAACACTGTCAGAGTCTACGTAGTGGTGACCAGAACCGGTCGACCCGGGGCAAGAAGCTCCCAAATCCAAGTTCTATTTGTCTCAGATCTCATCTAAAAGGTAAACAGAGTCAAAGAAAACACAGGAAACCAAATGGAAAATAAGTTATCATCGTGTTTCTGATTCGGTTTAGTCTTTGAAGTCTTGGCAGAGGCTAATCGTATGTGAGACCACTGGAAGGGTGGCCTGTTTTGTCTCACTTTTTTACTGGTTATTTTGATAAATTCCCTGCAATGCAAACACTAGTTAATGACTCACATCTTGTTGAAACAGAGGCTGGAAAATGTGAACGCTGGGAGCCCAGTGTAGTCAAATAAGACTTTTCAATTAGCAACATTTTAATCTTGTGTTTGTGTCTAAAGTGTTCAAATGGCTTGAAGAGGAAAGAAATGGACCCATAATCCTGGATTTCTGAACCGTAAGGATACAGGAAAGAAGCAATGAGATTAAGAAGGAAGCGGGAAGGATGAACTCCTGACATCAGTGAGTAACATGATGGTTTGTAATGTTAATATTTCTATACATTAATAATAAAAAAAACACAGTAAAGAACATTTGACCTTTGAAATATTTCTTTCAGGTGTGAATTCATTTAATAGCGCTTTTTTATATTACGGTATGTCTCTTTTTTTTATATATAAAAACAGGATTTATTTTAATTTTGTCACAAAAATATTTTTCCACTGTAAGGTTAGCTTTCTGGTATGGATTTGTTTTTTTGAGTGTTTCCTGGTACCCTCTAAGTTAAACATGTCCAAGCGTCAGGAACATCACAGACTGCGTCAGAGGTGACACAAAGGAAATTATCTTTATCTGGACTGACAAATCTGTTTGTTAGTCCAGCAATGCCTGTTTAAAGGGATATTTCACAGTTCTCTGTATCTCAAGTTGTTGCAAACCATTTCATAATGTCTTTTGTGGCCTGGAATTTTTTTTATTTTTGGTGTACAACATAAAATTACTAGTTGAATACTCATTTGGGTTCACTGAGTTAAAAATGTTGTAGGTCCCAGATGGAACATCGTCCTTTCACTTCTTGACAAATTTGTTGAACTATTTCAAATAAAGCCACCACTGCACATAAAGTCATGAGAAAGAGCAAATTTAAGTAACTTTCACATTAAGAAGATATATAAATAATACAGTTTTAGTAGTTAGAGAGTGGGTTATCTTTGTGCCTTGTGAAATGCCGTGCTCATTATCAAACCAAGAAGCTGTTGTTCGACAAAGTTTATAACCACTAAGGACTTTTTGTACCCCACTACACCAGCTTGAATGATTTAAATATAAACACTGTGCCGTTGGAAGCTATCTGCTTGATTTTGCTGATTCATCTGGTAAAAGGATTATTTTATAAAAGGAATGAATGAGGACCCCCATCATGCCTTTGTCATGCTGAAACCACATAAGGTTCGATAATGAAAAAGGTTATGCAGACCAGGGTTGTCCACACTTTTTCAGCATATGAGTTACTTATAAAATGACCAAGTCAGTTCAGTTCAGTTTATTTATATGGTGCCAAGTCAGAACAGAAGTCATCTCAGGGCACTGAACAGAAACATTCACATACATTATAATTGCCATTTAGTAAATTTATCTATCTAAGGAAGAAAGGAAGCCGGCAGACGCGTTGAGTCTTCATTTCGTCGCAGTCTCCCATCCTGAGCTAGCACAAAGGCAACAGTGGAAAGGAAAAACTTCCTCATGATAGGAAGAAACCTCCAGCAGAACCAGGCTCAGGACAAATGGCCATCTGCTTCGACCGGATGGGTTTGAGAGGACAGGAAAGAGAAACGGACACAGAATGGCAGGTCAAAACTGGAGGCGAGCAGGTGAGCAGGTCCTCACTAAGAGGAAAGATAAAAAATAAAAAAAACACGTTAAGATAGAAACAATTGCAAATACAAATTATTCATTTGTATTCATTTGTAACTATATTTGTTTGATGAAATGGGGTTAATTTGTCCTCCAGTAGTCTAAGCCTATAGCAGCACAACTAAGGGATAGGTCATGAAACCCAAGCCGACCCTAACTATATGATTTATCAAAAAGGAAAGACTTGAGCCTAGTTTTAAAAGTGGACAATGTGTCAGCCTAAAGGACAGAAACTGGAAGTTGTTTCCACAAGAGAGGAGCCTGATAACTGAAGGCTCTGCCTCCCATTCTGCTTTTGGAAACTCTAGGAACCACAAGTAAGCCTGCAGTCTGAAAGCCAAGTGCCCTGTTAGGAAAATATGGAACAATAAGATCTGTAATATACATGTAAGATGGGGCTAAGTTGTTGAGAGTGTTGTATGTTAGAATTAATATTTTTAATTATATTCTGGATATGACAGGGAGCCAATGGAGAGAAGCTAAAACTGGATAAATAGGATATCTCATATCAACTCTCATTAAAACTCTGGCAACAGCATTTTGATCAACTAAATAATTTTTAAAGAAGTATTTGGACACCCAGATAACAAACCATTTCAATAGTCCAGTTTAGACGTGACATATGCATGGAGCAGTTTTTCTGCATCATTTTTAGACTAGATGTTTCTAATTTTAGCAATATTACGCAGGTGGAAGAAAGCAGTTTTGGTAATGTTTTTAATGTGTGGGTTAAAAGTCATATCCTGATCAAAAGTAACACCAAGATTTTGAACGTTAGAACTGGAGGCCACATTAATACCATCCAGAGATGTGAAAGACTGCAAAATTTCTTCCTAAGATACTCAGGTCCAACAACCACAACTTCTGTCTTGTCTGAGTTTAAAAGCAGAAAATTAAGGGTCATCCAGGTTTTTATGTCTTTAATCTAAGTAACTGATTGGATTCATTGGGTTTCATGGACAAATATAACTGTATCATCAGCATAACAATGAAAATTTATCCCACGCTGTTTAATAACTTTATCTAATGGAAGCATATACGTGTACAGTAAAGAGTATTGGTCCAAGCACTGAGCCCTGAGGAACTCCATCAGGAACTTTGGTATATGAAGAAGATACATTATTTACATTTACAAATTAGAATCTACCAGGTAGATATGATTTAAACCACTTTAGAGCCATTCCTATAATCCCAATATCATATTCAAGTCTGTGTAGTAAAATATTGTGATCAACTGTATCAAATGCAGCACTGAGGTCTAACAGGACCAGTATAGACACAAGTCCATTGTCAGAAGTCGTGAGAATATTATTAGTAACTTTCACCAGTGCTGTCTCCGTGCTATGATGAGCTCTAAACTCCGAGTGAAAATCCTCAGATTATTTATTTGCAGATGTTCACACAACGGACCTGCAACTATTTTCTCTAGATTTTTTTAGATGAATGTTAAATTAGATATAGGTCTATAATTGGCCAGAATTCCTGAGTCAAGATTAGGTTTCTTAAGTAAGCGTTTAATTACAGCAAGCTTAAAACACTGTGCTACGTAACCATTCATTAGAGACAAATTAAGAAGATCCAAAATGGGGATATTAATATGGGGAGATACCTCTTTAAACCCTCTGGTTGGGATGGGATCTTGCAGACATGCTGATGCTTTGAATGAAGCTATTAATTTTGACAATTCAGAGAGCTCAACAGGACAAAAACAATCCAAACATAAATCAGGTTCTAGTGACATTTCTAAAGTTGCCTCATCTGACAGGGCATTGGTGGCAATAGTAGGAAGGTTGGTTTGAATTTTCTGCCTAATTGAACTGATTTTACTCTTTTTCTCTTCTTCACAACAACAGTCATTCTACACACAACCATCCAATGCTGTCTGGCCACGCTTTCCCCTGCTACAACCTTACTGTCCCCAATCTCCATTGGGTTTCCTCCTCCACACGGATAGTCGTTTACCTGTGTACTCCTTCCTTCACTCTTCTAGGCCACTCTGTTCCCCCCTCTTTTGGAAATAGATGTTGACTATAGCCATTTCCATTCTCTTGGCAAAATCCACCACCATCTGTCCTTCCTGGTTTCTTTCCTTGACATCCATGCTCAACATTAGTGAGCATGCATCAGGATAGTATTTTGATCTAAACTGTCATATATGGTGAATAATAATATTCCAAGATGTGTGTGTTGTCTTTGTTGAACATAGGCACAGAAAAGGACAGGGTAGATAAGACATTTTAAATTTATCTGGCAACCCTAATGCAGGGCTCAGCTGCATTCATTGTGCATGTAACATGTGCATGACCACAGTTACGTCCAAACTGGTGAATACAGTAAGTCTTTGGTCCCTTGATTTTATTAGTTTTCCTACATGCTAAAAAAGGGTGAGTAGCACAAAAAACACTCTGCACTCTGCCATTTATTATAACTGTTGTTAGTGTAGAAAATCTTTTAACTGCAGCCGCCATATGCGACTTCACGCCTGCAGAGCATTTCATATCTCCATGGGGGCTTCGCATGAAAAGCTCCACCCTGACACCTGGATTCAGCAACCTTCAGTTTCAGAGAGAAACTGTCATTTCCAAACTGTTGTTTCGTTTCGAGGCTGTTGTCGTGTAAATGAACGGCCGAACCAGTTTCACGTTGTGTAAACGGGCCTCGTATGTCTATCAAGTGACAAATTTCATAATGAGACTGGATGATAGGCTGACGTCCATTTTTTAATGCCATGCGATCTTACTACCTTTGCGATTATTCTGATGTCATTCTGTACTTTTATCTGGCTTTGGTTTGACACAATTGTAAAACACTTTCCGTAGCTTGTTTAAATATGCCTGTGTTCTCATACATGGTACTTGTCTAAAGGAACTTCCTGTTTATGACCAGTTGTATCCTGATAGGCCTGACTGACCTGTCCCTGGCCTCTGAACTTGGACCTTAAACCGTGAAGGAGCAGGGGTGTCGACCGGAAGAAAATGCGATGCACCACCCTCACTACCCTGCTGACCGGCGTCATGTTGTACCTGGGGATGGGAGCGCTTGTTTTTGTCACCCTGGAGACCCCTAAGGAAAGTGAGGCACATGAAAATCTGCTAAAGGCCAAGGAAGTCTTCCTTAATAATAAATCCTGCGTCTCCGAGGTGGATTTCCACGAGCTTGTGAAGGTATCATCCGACAAATATTCTCCTTCATATCAGCATGATCCAATCAGTACAGACTGAGACATGCCTTACCAGATGTATTACACGTTGATTGAATTTTTGCAGCGTGGTTTCTTTTCTGAGTCTAAATTGGGCAACTAAACAAACTTGTCTAAAAAAAACTTATTAACCTGTTATTTGTCATGTATGCTCTTCAGATCCAAGTTAAAATAAGGTCCAAACATGCTATAAATTGTAACAAATTTAAAAGCTACATAAGTTATTCTTTTATTGTGCTTCAATTAATTTAAAACTCTGAAAATTCTGACAACTGTAGCCTCACAGTCTAACGCAAGTAGTCACATAAAGTCAGACCATTTCAATAGTTTCCAGTGGTGGACAATGACTTTCATTAAGCTTGAACTTCTAGTGGCTTTATTTACTACATGCTACTTAAAGATTTTTAGTAGTAATAATAATAATAATAATAATAATAATAATAATAATAATCATTATTATTATTATTATTATTATTACATAATGTAAAATATAAAATATAATAATAATAATAATAGTAGTAGTAGTTGTTGTTGTTGTAGTTGTTATGTCTAATACAGGGTTGGGAAACTTTTTTTTTTTTCAGAGGGCGAAGTCAAGATATTTAATGGAATCCACATATAAGGGCCACATATATAATTGGAAAATAATTTTTTTAAAGACAGATAATCTGAAGGACTTTTCTTGTAGCACAGTTAGCATGTTTGATAAAAATATGTTTCTCAATACTCTTTAGTTTTATACGATATGCTTTCTGTAAACTGTCTCTTGTGACAATATATTAACTTAAACATGCAAAAAAAAGGTTTTTATACTTACATTTGGAGTAGTTCAGGTTAAGTCTAGTTCTGGAAACACACGCAACTTAAAAAAAGTTGTAGCTTATCTTAATATAAAGGTTTTAATGTAGCTGTCCACAATGTTTAATTTAAACTTCCTTAAATTTCATTAATAAAATGCAGGTTTTCATGAACATTTGTCCAAGGGCCACCCGTTGCATTTCTGATCTAATATGTGCTGCTCTGCGACTACAAGTTATTAAACAAAAAGTAAAAATAGTGAAGTTAAACTGAGTTTGAGAGCAGCTTTGTGTTCAAGGATCATTTATGGATAAACTACTGGTACGTCCCACACCTGCAGAAACTGGTGTCCGCTGTCGAGGCAGGTCTGGATGTTAGCAGCCTTTCTGCCAACCTGACCAGCCGCTGGGACATGGGCTCTGCCTTCTTCTTCTGTGGTACCATCATTACCACGATAGGTAAGCAGCGACACAGAAACAGTTGTAACAAAAATATAACCTGCAGCTTTGTGTCTGTCTGAACCATCAGAGTTGTCCAGTTAAAAAAAAATTTAAAAAGAATTTGGGCTGCACTGAATTGTGAATGAAAAAAATACACAATTTTCAAAAATGATCTGGGCCTGTTTTCTATATTTTGTGTCAAAAACCCTGCTGATCAAATACCTTCAAAAGCACCCTAAATCATTCCTGACCATGTTAGTGTAATTTTAGATTCTTTGTTTTGAAACAGGCTTCGGTAACCTGTCCCCTCGAACGTGGTTCGGACAGCTGTTCTGTGTGTGTTACGCCCTGTTCGGCATCCCCATGTTTGGCATCCTGCTCGCTGGCGTGGGCGACCACATGGGCACGGTGCTGCGGAGAGCTGTGGCCAAAATTGAGACCCTCTTTTTGGTGAGCATGCTCTGTCCTGTGCAGAAACCAAACTTTTGTTCAGTTTACACCAGAACCAATCACCTGAAAAAAGCTGAGGCCGAGGCACCATGTACCTGTACTTATGAAATATAATTTGTTCATCTAAATGTATTTGTTTCCTTCTTTTTATTTATTTATTTATATTTATAAAAGGACAGCCTTCTCAACAAGTGAAATCATGAAAGCTGTTTTTGTACGTGATTATTTAAGCCTAGCTGTATCACGTTACACAAGAACTTTGTTTAATGTGAACCCCAAGAATGAGAACGTGTCGTCTTTTCAGATCTTTTCAAGTGGAACCCTACAATGTTCAGTCAGGTCATCTGGACGGTTTATTTATTTTTTGTGCTGAGATGTTTTGCCCTCCATCCGAAGAACTTAATCATTCTGAGGAAACACCCAACAAAACTGTTTTGTTCGTTGTTGTTTTGCTTGGTGTTTCCTCAGACTGATGAAGCCCTTCGGATGTAGGGCGAAACATCTCAGCACAAAAAAAAAAAAAACCCATCCAGATGACCTGACTGAACATTGCTGGATTTTATACCTGGATTATTGAGCACGAACTTTGGTCTTTTCAAGTGGAGTTTTGTGGAAAGGTTTTCTACACCTAATATCTTACCTGTTGTAGATAGCTCTTTGAACCACTGCAGTTTAGAGAAATAGGATTTAATTTGATCATACTGACAAAATAACAGCAGATCTGAACAGGATCTAGACCAAAGTGGGTTGTTGTTGAGTTAAACAGCTCCAGTTTCATCGTCTTCATGTGTAAAAGCCTCTGAAGAACATTTGGTGCAGCCTAAAACTCATAATATTTCTGCTGTTGTGAGTTAAAAATTTAACTATAGTCCAAGTTTAAAGCTGTATGTGCACTTAAAGAAAAGGGGTGAAGTCACGTGGCCCTCTCCAACACCAGTTGTCCTAAAAGAAGGAGATAACACTAGTTTTAAGATAGATGATGTAAATCTAGTATTTTTGATCAAAGTTTCTCACAGAAACTAGGACCTCATGAAATTGTGTCTGTCAAAAATGTGTTTTTTAAGATACTGGTAGTAAAGTTTGCCTTTAAAATGTTGCTTCATTGTATTAAACACAGTATTTTATGTATATTCGTTTAAAATGTTGAAAGTGGTTAATTCTGCATCAGCATTCGTTGCCGTTTCTCTCGTAGAAACGCAAGATCAGGCCCACGACCGTGCGCGTGATCTCAGCCGTTCTCTCCATCCTGATCGGATGCTTGATCTTCCTCGCCGTGCCCACGGTCGTGTTTCAAAGAGTGGAGCGGTGGTCGTTTCTGGAGTCGCTGTACTTCGTGGTCATCACCCTCACCACCGTTGGATTCGGGGACTATGTACCAGGTTCTGACCCACACACAGTTCCAGGTTTATAACATGTTTATAACAGCTATAAGAACAGCGAAATTATCATTAGAATAGTAATAATAATTCTTTACTGTAATTTTGCCTCCGCAGGGATATTTGCTTCATTTCCAGGGAAGGAAATATAATTTTGTCTTGTCTTTTCTTCAGACTTGTCTCTGTTCACTTGTGGATTTTATTGTATTTGTCTCTTTTTAGTTACTTCATAATAAAAATAATAAATATATATGACTCTTTGATATAACTGTTACAGCCTGCAAGAGAAAGTTGTGATTAAATGTGGGAAAAAATGACATTTTATGATCTTTGTGAAAAACTCGTCATTGTTTTCTAGTTAACCTGTTGACATTTAAAGCTTTTCAAAGTCCATTATTTCCGTTTCCAGGTGGAGGTTATGAAGGTGGCACAATCTTTAAGCCTCTGGTTTTGTTGTGGATCGTTTTCGGTCTCGCCTACTTCGCCTCCATCCTCACCATGATCGCCAACTGGCTAAGGGTTCTGTCAAAAAAAACCCGCGCTGAGGTGAGAGGTTATTTTTGGATGAACCAAGAGGAGGAGCTGCAGTCGTTTCTTATCTCTGATCGTTTCCTTCATAGATGGAGGAGTTGAGGGCGCACGCCACAGACTGGACCCAGAACATGGACTTCCGCATCCCAAACCCTCTGGAATTTAACGACCCTTTTCTTCTTCAGCGCCGGCGATGGAAACGCAGCGAGCGCCGTCGCATTCGCCGAGGAGCCCAGGGCACTCTGGGATATTGGGTTCGAGGCAGATCTGAGAATGGACACCTGCCAAACCGCTGGGCCGGCCTCTCCAGCTCCATGAGCCAGCTGGATGCTCGCTCGTCTCTAGAGAAGGCTGTGGTGGTGAAGGCCAGGCCACGGTTGAGTGCAGCTGGAGAGGCAGCAGTCCTGAGAGCAGCGGCAGGAAGCAGAGCAGACCCTGCTGTGGGTGTGCAGGGCCAGGGAAGGTCAATTCACCACCTCATAGCCCGCTCATTTTCCCTCCCTGTGGCCCGATCCACCTCAGAGCTGGACTCCACAGGAGCAGCCATGCACGATGGATCCTTCTTTGGATCTGAGTCTCTGTTTGACTCCAGGTCAGAGGGATCCTCAGTGTCTTTGTCATTCCCAGCGCTCCCCATCTTCCAGCCCATCAGCTGGGTGGAGCAGGGGGACGTGACTCTTACACAGATGAACACAGAACAAGAAAAAGACAAACAGATTCCAGCAGAACACTTGGAACCTCAGGCAAGCAGTCACCAGTCACCTGTTCCAATTTTTCTGTCCCAGTCCCCCCCTCCTCCCGTTGAACTTTGTCCTCCCTCCCCTCACGGCCCCATTGGCGCCTCACCAGACTGCCAGCTGCTGGATTTTTTTGGGGAGAACCTGGCGTACATCGACGAGTCTTCCGACACGCTGAGTGACCGCGCCCAGTCTGCGGCGGGCGAAGAGAACATGAGGCGGCCGCGAAAAACCAAGAGGAGGAGCATGAGGAGAGAGCTGCCACACGCACGGAGCCCAGCGCAGGTGAGGAGGCCTAGCATGCAGCCGCCGTCGAACCCCCCAACGCCTCCTCCAGACTTGTCTCCCTCGGACCCTCTTCCATCAGAGATACAGATAGACTCGCATCTCTGCTGATCCAGCCTGCGCCTCTGTGGCTTCACAGCAGACTTCAGCCATCATCAACGGTTAGCCTCCCAGATCCAACATTCAGCTTTTGTTTTGTGTCTTTGTGGCCAAATATTAAGCACAATGACCCTTACTGCTGGCATGACTAGATCAGCTGGTTTGTGGGGTTTAATCTGCTTCATACAGTAAGGTTGGGCCTTAAAAAGAAAATGTTTCAGTTATTTCAGGCCTATTTATCACAACATTCTCCAGTTATCACGCAATGCCTATTCTTAAGTCTCTTCTTTACAGAAGTACTTAACTCTGAACATCAGATTTAAGGCTACTGTGTGAGCCCTTTGTGGCCCGAGCACTTTGTGGTTTTACTGTATCAGTCAGCCGCCTTGCTTCAAATACGGCTGCTAAAAAAAAGAAAAGTTAACTCCTTAAATGAAAAGCAGGGGTACATTGTTCATAATAGATTAAAAATAAGTGTCAGGATCTGATTCTGAACCACAACAATAGTTTAAAAACATGACGGGATCTTCACACAGACGAGTCTCTGAATTATTGGGTGTTGTCACAGGATCACGATGCAGAAAAAACCCTCAAGTTTGAGGTTATCTTTTGTGGGATTAAAATAAAGTGAATCGCTGCTTCCTCTGCTGATGCTTCCAGTGGCTCAGCTTCCATTTGCTGATTCATAAAACTATTTTTGCATGTTTTCAAGGTTTAAAATAATAAAAAAAACACAGAAATCCTTCGTAATATCAATGCCTGCTTTATTATTCATTGAAATACATTGTTTATTTGTTGTTTTTAAGCACAGATGTTGTTTTTAAGCACAGATGTTTTACTAGGTAAAAAAGCAACAATGGTTAAAAAGGATTTTATTTATTTATTTGTTTATTTCTATTCTGTTTAGATATATGTCATTTTTGTTTTAAAGTTCTATTGTTATTTAAGTTTTCTTCTATATAAATAACTCATTCTTTTAAAATCCGTTACTTATATATTGTTTGTCATGAGATGAACTTGGGTGCATCATAAGATTTGTCTTAAAACCTTTCATCCTTAGTCTTCAACTTATTGTAAACATAAATTGGGTGAATATTATTATTATTTTTATTATTATTTTGTTTACGAATCAGTGTGAACCTCACCAAAAGTTGTTTAGATAATTTGAATTGGGATTCTGTGAAAAAAAAAAAAAAAATATATATATATATATAAAAAAAACATCTTACCTGCCATAGATAGCGTTTTGAACATCCTTGGTTTTGATAAAGTTTAATTCTGACTGGATTGTCAAGCGGCTTGAAGGAGCACGGCCAAAACCAAAGTGGATAGCCTCGAGCTTATAAAATAACTGCAATATTAAAACATTATCTGCGGTTTAGCCAAAAGCTATTTCATACCTCTTTACACCGCCATCAGTGTATTAGAAATTTTTAAATGTGGGCTCCCACTTTTTTTGTTCTTGTACAAAACTAGCCAAGTGCTTCACAACAAAATAAAACTTAAAACTTTAAAAGAACAAAGCCTAAAGTTCCTATGCAATAATAGAAAAAAACAAAAAAAAGTTTTTACTCCTAAGGTGCTTTATTTAAATTTGAAAGTCAGCATTATGAGCTATAAAACTGCTGATGTTTGAGTGCTCACCAGTGAAGAAACAAAAGCACATTTAGCAAAATAATGCTAATCCACTGTAAAGAATATTTGACCTGAACGAACCCTGAAGGACCTGAGTGAACTCGACTCGGTGGATGTGGGATAAATATTCACTTCCTGCGTCCACAAAGCAGAAACTAGTTCAGGAGGCTGTTGTGGTGTTACGCCCTCCACTGAGGCCACAGTAAGAAACAGACTGAGCCCACACTCAGATCCAGACTCCCACATATTTTGTCACTTGTTGACAGAAAACTGGAAGGAGAAGAAGGTAACTCGCAGTGGTGTACCAAGTATGGCACATCTGTAATTTTTTCATTATGAATCCTGACCTATGGAGGCTGTTTTTACCTACTTCGCTGTGTGTGATCCTAAAATGACTCGAATTTTTAAATATAGACTTTAGCCTGCCTCATTAGTTTGACCATTTTACTTTTATGACATTAAATGGGCTGACTCATATCCAATTTTATGTTTTAAAGATAAAAATTTTAAATAAAATGTGGAGAGATTTCTATAATACTGTGGCAAAAATATTTTTTCCCACACATTGCTATAAACTTATGGTAATATTATAGTCTGAATGACTAACATAATCTAAATGTACATTTAAAATTAGGTGGGGAATATTTGAACAGTGCAGCTTAAAATTTTTAAAACTTATCAAACCCAGAGAATGTGCTTTTAAAGTACAGATTTTCAGCTTTATTTTAAGGGTATTTACATCACTATGTAGATGTATATATATATATATATA